CCCCGTGACTAAGTCTTCTCACAGGAATGAGAAAAGTAATGCGTATGTGCCTCCTGGCAGCCTGGCTTTAAGATCTCCCAGAAACACTCCTCTGTGCTCTTTCCCCTTTAGACTGGTTGGATGAAAATGACCATAACCACCTTAGAAGCCACATGTTAGACAGCAAAGCCTCTCCTGACCTCTCTTGGGTCCCAGAAAAACCTACATGAAGCAGAGCAACTATTATCTGTGTTGGCCAATCTAACCTAAGTGAAGCAGAAATAAAATTCTTGTTCTTAAAGCCTCTGAGATTTGGGAGTCTGTAAACACAGTCTAGACTGACCTAATACAGTCACCAATCTTGAGAAATTCACATGTTCTAAGATAGAATTCCAAATACTGTGGAATATGTTCCAGATTTGGTGTTTTTGCCTTCAGAAGCTGCAGGCTTTTCTCCCACCAAGGATGTATGACCAAGTTCATGTAGGCTGCGACACTGTATAATGGGTATTTTTCTCTACATAGACAAAAGAGCCTTCTGAGGCAGTTTCTCTGAAGGAATGACTTGGCAGTATGGAAGTTTAATCATTTTCTTCTAGCTGCACATCCGTTACCATCTTTCAAAAGTGAAAAATCCAGGGGAGCATGGGTGGCTCAGTCGGTAAGTGTCCAACTTCAGCTCAGGTCATTATCTCACGGTTTGTGGGTTCAAGCCCCACTTCGGTCTCTGTGCTGATGGCTTGGAGCCTGGAGCCTGCTTCAGATTCTGTGTCTCCCTCTGTCTCTGCCCCTCCCCTACTCGCTCTCTCTCTCTCTCTCTCAAAAATAAATAAACATTAAAAATTTTTTTCAAAAATGAAAAATCCAATATCCATAGTTCAGTCCCTAAGGGCATTTAAAAGTCACCTCATCTCCTTTGTGCTTTTCCAATGCTACCATGATAAGAAGGATTAGGTGTAGACCAGAGCTTTCTGAATGCCCCAGGAGACCAGGTCAGTCCACAGTGTCTTGAAGGACTAGCAGCATCCTTTGCCATATTCACCAGCCCTGGCCACCTCCACACCTCAGGGCTGGGCCAAGGGAGACCTGACAAATGAGTAAAATTAGTTTCTATAGGCAACACAATGGCTATAACAAAGAGGAAGTCTTGGATCTTTGCACTTGTCCTTGGTTTGTGCACTTTCCAAAGTAGCTAAAAGGCGCATGGTTTGCATTTCACCAAGTCAAAAAGAGGACAGAAAGAAAGGGGCAGGGGGCGGAAACAGATTGGATGCAGAATGGACAGATGAAAATTATTTTTTAACAAAGCAGTATTTTTCACTCCCTAGGTGAATGACTTTTGTGAAAATAGTTCTATGAAAAGCCATACACTATTTTGATTTTACTTATCACTATCATTAGGTTTGGCTGCAAATAGAAGTTTACAATAAAATAAAAAGGAATATGATCAAAGATTCTATACAATTTTGTGATAAGGTGATTTGTAATTCAAGCAATATAATGCTTGAGGCTTATATCTTGATTTCCTATTACTGTTTCCAGTTACTGCAGATGCTATCTGAGGAAGCAAAGAACACATGGATGAAGAGAAAAATAATTAAATATCTCTGAGCTAAATAATTACAACTATTACAAAAAATATAAATAACAAATTTAGAATGTATTACAATACAAATAAATAGTATTTTTAGTGTAAAAACTGCATTTGCACAAAGAAACTAATTAGGAACAAATACAATCACACTACATCGGAAACATGTTAAAATGGTCTGAGGCACACAGAAACAATGGCACAGTTCACGTGAAACTTGACCGAGAAGAGGCCATCTGAAGGCCATGTCCTGGTCTGAAACTACCAAAGGCCTTTCAACCAAATCTCCTGGTTCGGAAAAGCTACTCAAAAAGCTGCCCCATCAAGGTTCATCAGACTTGATGACTCCGTGTTTGGTTTTTCAAGACAAACTAATCTGAAGAGGATCAAAATGTAGGACTGAGGTAAAGATACTGAACAAGGAGGAAGTTTTCTGTTGGCACAAAAGATTTACATGAATACTTTTCAAAATGTTGTTATATTTGATGGGATGGGTCAATTATACGTTTATAATACTGGCAGATAACACTTCAACACTGAGTTGGACAGAGATAAGTTGATACACATTAGCGAAAGCACCAATCTTTCCCTTCTTTCTCTCACTTCATGCCAATTTAACATTTTATACTGAAATCTTAGGTGTACCCTATTGTTTCTACTTTTTTTTTTTTTTTTTTTTTTTTTTTTTTTTTTTTTTTTTTTTTTTTTTTTGGACTCTTTAATGCTTGCCATCCTGTAAAGCAGCATACAGGCTCCAGTCTTAAATACTTGGTCATAAAAAGTCGTATGCTAAGTGCTCACTTCAGAAGACATTTTTTATCATCCTTCCCCAAAGGTGTTATGCACTGTGGACTCTGCAGGCTTATATAAACTCAAATCATGTAGCAATGCCATAGCTATCAGCAAGGATTGGGGCCATAAAAAAGTCAAAATTTGGCATTCTCTAAAGCTTGTTTACTTTTTATTACAGTCATTATTTTGGATTTCTTTTTGTAGTTAAGGAGTCCTGTGGCTAACAGGGCTCATATGCATCAGTTCAGGTGGTAAGTATGCACCCATGCAGTGCAGGGACCTGTGAAGTAGAGGAGTCCTGCCTGTCACCCCATTCAGTGCTTACACTTCAAAGGGAAGGAAAGAAGTGGGATTGTCTACTCATTGCTTCAATGAGAGAGCTCTAAGCAAGTTGGGGTGCTTTAGCAGATCTAGCAAGAGATGAATGATAAAAGAAACTAAGAAAAAGGTAGAAGTTTCAAATTTTCCTTCTGATCAGCGAAAAGACACCCTGCTCCAACTGCTCCCATGTAAAGTATTTCACTTCTATTCCAAAATCTAGAGTCACTTTTATTTAATTTTCCTGATTTGAGTTACATAAAAAACTATTCTGTAAGTAACTGATATTGCAACATAAGGAAGCATGATTATTTTTTAATTTTTAAAATCAAAATTGTGTTTCCATGATTTGGCTCCTGGATTAAATATATTATCCACACGAAAAATCCACAAAATCCTATTGAGGTGTTAATCTAATCATAAATTATTTTAGGTTGACTTTTTCCCTTTAGTTTTATATCCAGTAAGTACTGAAAACAAACCTAAAGGCCTCAAGTGGGAAGAGATTAAATTAGATGTGTACTTATCAGTCCATTGAGTAAAAACCCCATCTTTTGCTGGGATGTTTAAAAAAAAAAAATGGTACCTGTAGCCACAGATGCTCCAACTTTTAATGGACCTTCTTCGCCAAACTGTTTTCTCCTCTTCCTCCAATTTTTTACAAGTATTGTTGAGAAAGAACATATATTTTTCTTATTATAATTAGATACTATTTGGGGTCCAATTGGAAATTGGCCTTACATTTATAAAAAGCCAAAGTGGATTTTATTTCTTCATTCCTTCCCTTCTGGTCAAACACTACACTTAAAAAAAAAAGTTTTAATATAGGGGAATGGGCAAAGGGGGGAGGTTTAAACAAAAAAGTCAAATAATGAAACCTTTTTTATTCCACACCTCTGAACTTGAACTTAGTGATCTTTAAAAACTTTGTTTCAGAGAAAGAAATCCAGTGACAGAAGAGAAGAGAAGAGAATGATCTAGAAAAGCTTCCCAATATTAGGGAGACATAACTGCCACCATCAGAACCATGGTGCTTGGGGTGAGGATGTATCAGAGACTTACATGGCAGGAGGGGCAGGAAATGAGCCAAAGTCAAGGTTTCCCCAGTCCCTCAGTTCTGTGATGGCTTCAAACTCAAGATTCTGTAGCTGTCTGAAGCAAAAAACTATTGGCGACTGTTAATGAACCTCACCGTACTAGGGGATGAGCCTGTCAGGTAACTGAGTTGGAAAGATGAAAAATAACCATCTCTAAAAACTAGCTTCTGTCAGAATAAAAACTCCCTTTGTGTGAGGCTTGCAACAGACCCATTCATCCGCCCGAGGGTAGAGAGTTTCAGAACTCCCCCTCCTCCAATGAGCCCCTGTTCAAAGTTAATATGAGGTAAGGGTTATCTAAACAGCCAGACAGGAGTATACTGCATATTTCTTTATAAAGATGACAGAAACTTTTCGAATTTCATAAACCTGTACTACTTGTTTTTCTGTCTGGACCCAAGGGGTGTAGGATCAACTTTAGACATCTTTCATAAGCTTGGAATCTAATTTTACGAATTTATTCTAAGACATAAATCAGGTAAGACAGAAGTAGATGGATGGATTCTTTAAAAGAAATCAGGCCCCCTGGGTACTTTTAGTGGACTGAGTATTGAGAGATTTACAGGAATAAAATTCTCTACAAGATTAAGGAAGAAGGAAACGAAACCAAATCTTTCATTTCCAGATATTCACTTTCATTAATTCTTTCACCAAAAGCACATCACTGAACGAAAACCAGAAATGGTTTTGCAGTTAATAATAAAGTGGTTCAAGAGCCAAGGAACCCCTTGAGATGGAAACAAAACAACAAAGTATTCAAGTTCTCTTCACAAGACTACCTTGTACTGGCAACACTTAGGGCACTTCTGGCTTCAAAAGAATATTGCTAAAGGAACTTTTTGAAAAAAAGTAATTACTACATTTTGGCAAAAAACAAAAACAAAAATCACTCCTATAAAACCCCTACTTCCTTTTGAATCTCCAAAGGTTACAACATTTCATTCAAGATGCTTGGCAGTCACGGGCTTTGGTTCCGGATTATGTAAACCCTTAAGTCAAGAAGGAAAGCGGCTGATGTCAACCAGCCGCTGTCTGTGGCCTATCACTGAGGAAGTATTGTGAAGCATGTGGGGCGCCTGCAGGCCCGTGGTGGGAAGGTTGGAGATACTAAAGGTAAAAAATAAATCACAGCAAAAGAGATTCGGAGAGTTGGGATGATGTCCAAGCTCTTTTCTACCATAATAATCCAGGGCCCTCTCAATTTCTACCTCTAAAAAAGTGTCTCTCCACCGCGGTGGCTGATGTTTCTTACATTTGACAAAAATGAATACTTCACACAAAAGACTTCCACAAGACGTCTGCTGCTTATGAGGAGGCTCATGTTGCTTTGCTTTCATTTTATGGCGCCTGCGGGGTGCTTTCTCAGGTCAAAACTCTCTAGCCCCAAGCAAATGAATTTGTGCCCATACTAAGTGCTCAAACAGATCTAACACCGTGTTTGTCTTTCTGTTTCCTGATTGTCATGCCTGAAAGACTCTCATTAATATACATGAGGCTTAATGCCATAAGACTACATGACTAGAGATCATTTTTTAAGAGAAGCTTGCTCATTCAGGAAAAAGTATGGATTTGATTTACACTGCAGACCAGAGGGAAGCTGACACAGTCCTTTGGTCTGAATTCTTGGAAACACCGTCACTAGACCTATGGGCCCTTATCGGCATGCTGACTTTTGCGCTGCCTCAGTGTGTCTTCCACCACCTCTGTGTCGGCTGGGCTGGGCTGCACAGGCGTGTCTTCTTCAGGCTCAGGTTCTCCATCCTCCTGGACCTCTCTCAGGGGCCCCTGGTCCTGGGCATCGTTCCTCTCCTCATCCACGCGAGCGGCAGCACTGTCCTCCTCCTCGTCCTCCTCCGCTTCGTCCTCATCACCAAGGTCTTCTTTCTCTTCTTCATCATCTACAAGGCTGTCCTTGTTTTCTTCCTCATTTGAATCATCTTTTTCCTCCTCTGCATCCTGCAACTGTTCAGCTTTGTGAGCCTCCTCTGACCTCCGAGTCTGCTCTGTGGAGGGAAAAGAGGGGAACATCCTCTGAATAAACTGGTCATTCAGCAGTCAATTGAGTGTGTTTAGCTGTGAAATGAAAGGGTGGGGCCCGTGACCATTTTCTCCAATCTGAAGCTATGTTATCACACTGCACAGATCTCTGGCTGGCGGTGTCCTACCTCCATCCAGGGCTTCTCCATTCCTCTCTGGAAAGTTCACTAACTGTGTTGACTGATAGAGCACAGAGCCAGGGAGGGTAAAGGTTCCTTCTGGCTTACTCAGTGACCCACTCACTAGTCATGGTGATTAGTTAAGAAATGTGACTTAAGCCAAGCCAATCACAGGACTTCCCAGGAGTTTTTTGGCCAGAGTCAAGAAGAAAAGCCTTCTCTCTTTCTACAGGAATTGATAAACTGATAAAATGTGAGTTAGGGCTGTTGACAGCCACTGAATCAGCCACATAGAAACAGAAACCTAACATCCCTTGGGCTGAGCTTGCAACCAGAACATCCCTAGATTTTTCAGTTATGTGAGTTAATAAAATTTCCTTTTTTTCCTAAGTTACTTTAAACTGGGTTTATGGTATTTTTAACAATTCTAAGGAACATAATATATTTTCTAATAATCTACGGAAATCTCCAAGTCTTGAGAACTTCAAGAACTGAAAAGAAATATAAGCTTATTTAGTTAAACTTCCACATAAAATTAAACAATTATAAAGTCTCAAAGAAGACTTCAAGCAAAGTCTCAAAACTAGGAATAAAAACGTGAAAACCCAGGGCTGTTTAGTCCCACAAACAGTGTGGAGCAGTGCAAGGATTTGGGAAGACTGTTTTTATAGGATTTAGAATAGTTACTGATACACGGTTGAGACTCAATAAATGTGAGTTCTCTTCCCTCATTCCAGTTTGAATGAAGGAAAAGGTGTCAACTAATTAATGAAGGGCATATACTCAAGGGGAAAAACAATGACCAAAATGAAGTATTACCTAATTTAAGGGAAGAAAAAAAAAATCATTTTTGTTCAAATCTGACCTAGAAAACTTATTTCAAAGAATTTGGTAGTAGTGATGGTTTGGTCACCTCGCGAGTCAGGGGGGAAAACTCCAGTATCTATCTGAGCACAAAAGGGCATGCCACAGAATTCCAAAACTACTCTATCACATGAGTTTATCATACTTACCAGTGCGCTCAGATAAATGCCTTGGAAGTGGTACATAGAAACATTCTGATATTATCACCAAGACCTGAAGGGAAAAAGTGATTTTACAGTGAATAGATATGACATTTATTACCAAAGAGCCTCAAATTTAGGTCTTGGATCTATAATCAGATATTTACAGACAAATAATTAGCGGTTGGTCAAAAGTCCTCAAAAAGGACAAGGGCATAATTAAGACTTTCCAATTTTTCAAATGTAACAATTTAGGAAAATATTGATTTATAACAGGGGTCACAAAGTCAAATGTCTATAGAGATCCCACCAAAAACTGGTAAATCAAACGGGTATAAGAAAATGGATACTATCAGTCAAGTCTAAAGCGGCCTTTTTAAAAACACCCCTCTGGACAAACAAAACTAGTCTGTATATGGCTGCCTCTCACCAATGCCTGAGTAAAAGGCTATTTATTTCAGGGTCTAGAATTCTTAAGAGTACCATAAGAAATTTCTACAGAAATAAATTGCAAGAAAAGTTATCAGTGATATGAACTAAACCCTATTTTAGACAGTGACTGACTTGGCTTCATCTCCGACCTTAACGAAATATGAATGAATCATTTTCTACTTGCTAGAAACATCCCTCTCCCTTGATAAACTACAAGCTCTTTAGGGGCAGGTTCATCCCAGTCCCTGTTCCATGCCTAGTCCGGCATGGGCCACGGTGATGAAGCTATGGGTGTGGGGTGCAGTTACCTGGACCCAGAATAAGCTGCAGCCATTCTTCACACCTTCCCATGCAGCATCACACAACATAAAGATACAACCAGGAAGAAGCTGCCCATTTAGAAGGACAGTGTCCTTCTTGTACCTAGCTGACTCCCAGACTTGGCCTTTAAGATAGTAATACTACTTCATACATTAGTGTTTTAAAGATGCTCTAAAATTTTAAAGAACCTGATATCATAGTTCTTTTGATTCAGTTTCATAAACATCAAATGAGTACTCTACTTTGTGTTCAGGAGTATCACCATCTGTATATTCATTTACCACTTTACTCAAAATTTGGTTCATTAGGTTCAAGGTATCGTGTTAACTTCTGTGGGGACAAGTTCAAAAAAGGAGAAAAAATGGCAGTTTAAACATAAAGCAATATGGAACATGAATTTCATAAGAAAAATGAATAAAACACTTTGACAGATATTTCAAAGATTCAGATATTACAACCAGTTATGGGTTTGGGAAGGATCAAGAATGACCACTTGAAGGAGGCATCACTTAAGGCCCTGGGCATAGTCCAGAGCGGATGGGTAGTACCAGCTGCCTGGTTCATCTAAGCTACACCAAACTGGACCATGGGGGCTCCTATATTCAGAGGAAGCCCTGAATGCAAGGCTGGGGAGACCAGTGTGGTAGGACAGTGGGATGCATAAAGCTCTGTGGGTTGGTGAGGAACAAGCTCCCTGGGCCAGCTAGAGGGCTAGGTATAGAGGGCCTAGAAAAAGACTTAAGGCATACTAACCTCAACCTTGTCTCTCATTAACTGTGTGACCCTGAACAAGTCATTTAACTGCTTTCTCACTGGAACTCTCTCAAAAGGATGGATTTGGGTTAACCTATCATGAAAGTCTATTTTATATCTAATAGTACACAATTCCATCATATAGCCTTAATTCAGAAACTGGAAGGAAAACCCTCTTATTCTCCCAGATTCTCTCAGTTCAAGATCTATTTTCTCATCTAGAGAACTATTCCCTTGGAATGGTCCACTTCCTAAGCCACTAAGAATGGCACTGCTTAAAAGCAGGGTCTAGGGGCACCTGGGTGGCTCAGTCGGTTAAGTGTCCAACTTCAGCTCAGGTCACGATCTCACGGTCCGTGAGTTCAAGCCCCGCGTCGGGCTCTGGGCTGATGGCTTGGAGCCTGGAGCCTGTTTCCGATTCTGTGTCTCCCTCTCTCTCTGCCCCTCCCCCGTTCATGCTCTGTCTCTCTCTGCCTCAAAAATAAATAAACGTTAAAAAAAAAATAAATCAAAAAAAATAAATAAATAAAAGCAGGGTCTATAGGGGAGTAGTGCCCTTTTCTTCCTCTTCCCTTCCAGGGTTATATTTTCACGTTCCAGCTGTGACCCAGGTAGATACAGATAGCCATGCAACTAAATGAGGAGGCGAGACAGATTTGCCACCTTTCACAGAGAGTGAAATCTAGGCCTCTTGATATTAGAGACCCTCCTCTGAGGGAGGCTCTGTGCTAGACACTGGGGAGCAACACACAGAAAAATAATCTACCCAAGTACCAAAATTTAGACAGTGACCACATATACCAAGTGAAATGGAGACGGGAGAGTAGAGGCATATGATCGCTGCCTGTGTTTTCCACTGCTCTTCTGTTTGCCTAGAGCTTTGCTGTCTTTTATCCTTCAGAGCAGAGTCACTGATCAAAGAAAATGACACTGCCAGAGTGATTTCATATACAGATGATACACTTAAGGGTCTTTCCCATATTGATTTAAAATGCAAAATATATACTTGATTTCTAAAACTAGGCCCTTTGCTGACATGTGCAAAATAACATTTAGTATTAACATTTCAGCCATCGTGAGGCTCAATCACGAAAACAAACAAAAATCTAAACCAGCAGCCTTGTTTTGACTTCTCATCTTCTAAAATTAGGAAAAAGTAGAAAACATAATAGGCTTGTGGGAAACAATGACTTGATCAGGAAATGACTTCTCTATGGAAAACATCCTGCCCTCCTGGCCACTGTAGAAGTTAAACTCCATAAGAATTCATACAGGGAAGAAATTCCAGGGTCACCAGGACCAAGCCTCAGGTGACTGCATGCCTGGGCTCTGCTTTCAGCCCTCAGTTAATGGCAAAGGTAACATACAAGACAGAACTGCACACCTGCAGACCTCCCTGAAGGCAACAATTCTGGTTGTTGTGTGCTTCTTTTGGTATGTATTACAGTTGTAGAAGAGGAATCAGAGATATGTGTTTGGTATTTTATGGAAATGTATTACCGGAAAATTTCTGAGTTTATTACTGCTTTGAAATTATTACTATTTTGTTAAATAGTTACTCTCCCAATTTCTTATAAAGGAATGATATTCTGTATCATGTAATCACTTGAATAGTCTAGAATCAACTCTCTTGTTTCTTCAGGCCAAATCTTAATAACCCTCCTGTACTGATTATTTGAATCTAAGTTCCCAAATGAAGTTAGGGCATAGACAGGCCTGACTTGATTTCTTGAATTTAAAGTTGACCTCAAAGATAAATTTCAAAAAGCCTTTATGCTGAGAAGAGTTTCCAATGGTCTTCCAAAAGGCTCACGCTCAACCTACATTCTCCATAACTCCACTTGAGAACCACCCAGTATCTCATGGTGCTCCCCCTACAAAAGTCTCACACTCATGTGGCCCTAAAAGACACCACCAGAACAATCCAGAACTAGACCATAGATAGGAGAAGCATATTTATATCCAGTCAGCTTTATACAAAGTCAAATACTTTAAGGCCAGTCAGTCAGGGACATGTTAGTTAGCACTAGGATTAATGCAAGCTAATGAATGACACATCTGAGTTCCATCCCCACCTGTGAAGCTAACACCAGCAGTCACAAATCAAATATACCATAATTTGAAATAAGCATGTTTGTAGCAAAGCCAAATCGAATCAAATAAAAGCCTCCTTGGCTTCTTGGGAGTTTGACTTTGTCATCCCAAGTTATATATCAATATGGATAAAAGCAACTGCTAACACTTTAAGCTAATTTTTTAAAAAGAACTTGCTAATTTAAAAAAGGTAAACAAATAAAATAAAAAGAACTTGCTAAAGAGCTGAAATGCATTATACAGTGTAAGGACAGACCTACCTAAATGTTTGTCCTTTTTACATAAATTCTTAATAATCATCAATTATTCCTATCATATAGTGTTTAGGAGCTGTGCGATAAATATATAGCACAATGGTTTTAAAGACTTATCTTGGGGCACCTGGGAGACTCAGTAAGCATCTGACTCTGGATTTTGGCTCAGGTCATGATGTCACAGTTCATGAGTTCAAG